GGAAACTGAGTCAATAATAAAACTAATCTCTGAGGTGAGGTTAATTGGAGATGTCTCCAAGTGGGGTCCTGCACTTCCCCAGGGGACAGGTCCAGTATCAGCGGGAATTGGGAGACAAATCTCGGGAGCTGTATTAGAGCTTAAATTTTGAGCATCCCAATTTGCCCAAGGATATGGAAGACCGCTGTGATTGAGTCTATGCAACGAAAGTGCGTGAATTTATATGCAGAGCCTGTGACAGCCCAAACTCTATTTGCGGAGTCCCACATCGATGAAGTCTTCTGGAATTCTGATCATTAACCAAGGCTATAGGCAACCTTACCAGTCAGCAAGGGGCTCTGGGACGATACATTAACAGCACCTCCCTCCAGCCAGCCCAGGTGGGAGTTACAATATGAATCCCCCTATCAGTTGTGCCCTGACTGCCTTGGTCAGAAGGGCCTGACCAATCTTGTCAGATCTTCTATCTGACAATGTACTGCCCCAATCATGGACCTGGTCCTGCTTCTGTCCTCCCGCGTCTACCTGTGACGGATTGATCTGCCACCAATCATGAATGTGTTTTCTTTCTTCCAAGCCTTATTTAACCAGGTTCCTGATTTGAATACCCAAGAGATGTTTTGACTTCTAATAACAGCCTTCCAACCAGATGATGCCTATTTTGTGTCTCTTAAGACTGAACACAAGTCCTTCTTACGTTATCTTTGAGATCGGGGGCTTTGCACCCTAAATGGAGCACATGCTCAGTTCCGATGGGCAGACACCATTCAGGACCGACACAGTCAGGATCTTAGAGAATAATATGGCGCTCTGATGACCGCATGGCGGGCCTCCCCTTTCGGTAAGGGCCAGCCTGGGCCGGGTCCACTCAAGGGCCGCCACCCCACACGGAAGGAGCAGGCCCACGGTCCCAACCCACGCCGCGCTGGGCCTTACCTGGGGTTCTGCGCAGGACGAATGGGGGTAGGGAGTTCCAAAGCCCAAATTCAGAGGCTGGCGATCCGCCTGGGGTGGACTGAACCAGAAAGGTCCCGGGGAGGGGACACAATGACGGAGGACCAGGGGCGGACACGGTGCGGACACTTCAACGTCCGCAGGGTCCCCGGAAACAAGTGTGGGTTCTGGATTTCAAGCGCTCCGTCGAACGAGAGACACAAAGACTCACCTCGCCTCTTGGGACCGTCTGCGGTGACTTGCCTGCTCAGGAGTGAAAAGAGGAGGAAACGGCATCATCCATGTAGGGGCGGGGCCTGCAGGTAATGGGTGGGACCGGAAGAGTGGCGTGGGGGCGGGGCCAGGAGAAGGGAGGAGTGGAACTGTGCAGAGCAAAAGACAGTCTACAGAGGGAGGGGACCTGAACTCCCTGAGCCCCACCTGCGCATTCCTCTGTCTTCCAGAGGAACTTCATTGTACACTGTCTGCAGGTTTCTGTAGGAGTGGAAACTTCCAGATCCTCATTTGCTGACAGGGCACAACTCAAGGTGAAGAGACACAGCTATAAAAATCGGCTAATGATCAGAACAGGAATTGGGCGAAGTATGACTCTAAGAAAATTGAAATTAGTGAAAAATGAAATGGAACACATAAAGGTTGACATCTTTGGCATTAGTGAGCTGACACGGATTCATATTGGCCGATTTGATTCAGAACATCCTATGACTTACTATGCTGGGAATTACACCATCATGAGAAACGGCGTGGAATTCATTGTCAAAAAGGACATGGCAACATCCGTCATGAAGTTCGCAACATCCGTCAGGAAGTTCAATGCTGTCTGTGATAGGATTGTATCTCTTTGCCTTCAAGGAAATTCCATCAATACAACTATTATTCAAATGTATGAGCACCAACCACAAAAGCTAGTGATGAAGAATGTAAGATTCTACCCATGACTTTGGTCTGTAATTCATCATCCATGCAATCAAGATGCATTGATAATTACTGGCCATCGGAGTATAAACGTTGGAACCAAAGAGGAAGGAACAGTATTTGGAAAATATGGACTTGGTGACAGAAAGAAAGCCAGAGCTTGCATGACGGAACTTTTCCAAGGACAATGACTGATTCACCACAAATACATGTCTCAACAAAACATCAAGGCAGTTATACACATGGATGTCTAAAGATGGAATATACAGAAAACAGAAATCAAATTGACTACATCTGTAGGACTAAATCAGTGGGAAGCTACATAGTTACCGGTAAAACTAGGTCGAGGGCTGACTGGCTAACTAACCATCAATTGTTTATCTGTAAGTTCAGAATAAAGCAAGGAAAATTAAAACAAGTCCACGAGAGTCAAAATACAAACTCAAATCCCATCTCACCTCAATTTCAGGAATATCTCAAATAGATTTGATGCATTGAACACTAATGACAGAAGACCCAATGAGGTCTGTGTGGGTAAGTGTGTGTGTGTTGGGGGTGGAGTGGGGTGGGAGGAGACAGACATGAAAATCATCATTCATGAATGGAGCAAACGGTCATTCAAAGGACAAGAAAGACAGGGCTGTCTAAATAAGATAGGCTGGATGAACAATCTGGAGGAGAAAACAACAGGACCGACAGTTCTGGGGAGATATGGAAGATCAGGAGGTGGGAGGAAAAGTAGTGGTGTTCACAAACCCAGGGACAAGGGAACAAGTGGTCCAACTCGGTGGTGAGGTGGGTGTAGGAGGCCTGGGAAGGCATGACCAAGGATAATGTAACCAAGAGGAATTACTGAAACCCAAATGAAAACTGAGCATGGTAGTGGGACAAGAGGAAAGTAAAAGGAAATAGAAGAAAGAGCTAGGAGGCAAAGGGCATTTATAGAGGTCTAAATAAAGGCATGTACATATGCAAATATATTTATATATGAGGATGGGGAAATAGATCTCTGTGCATATTTTTATAGGTTTAGTATTACTGTAGCAGAAGGACATTGGGCCCTTACACAAGTACTTCCTCAATGCAAGAATACTTTATTCTATTAAATTGGCATTCTGTGATGCTCACCTTCCGGACACAACCTCTGAAGACAAAGTGGGTGAATAAGCAAATGTGGTGAAAAAAGCTGATGGTGCCCGGCTATCAAGCGATATAGCATCTGGGCTCTTAAAGGCTTGAAGGTTAACAAGCAGCCATCTAGCTCAGAAGCAACAAAGTCCACATGGAAGAAGCACACTAGCCTGTGCGATCACGAGGTGTCGAAGGGATTAGGTATCAGGCATCATCAGAACAAAAAATCTTATAATAGTGAATGAGGGGAGGAGTGCGGAGTGGAAACCCAAAGCCCATTTGTAGGCCACTGGACATCCCCTTACAGAAGAGTCTCAGGGAGGAGACGAGGCAGTCAGGGTGCGATGTAGGAATAATGAAACACACAACTTTCCTCTAGTTCCTAAATGCTTCCTCCTCCCCCACTATCATGATCCCAATTCTACCTTACCAATCTGGCTAGACCACAGGATGTACCCTGGTACAGAGAGGAACTGGAAACACAGGGAATCCAGGGCGGATGATCCCTTCAGGACCAGTGGTGTGAGTGGTGATACTGGGAGGGTAGAGGGAGGGTGGGTTGGAAAGGGGGAACCGAATACAAGGATCGACATGTGACCTCCTCCATGGGGGATGGATAACAGAAAAGTGGGTGAAGGGAGACATCAGAAACTGCAAGATATTACAAAATAATAATTTATAAATTATCAAGGGTTCATGAGGGAGTGGGGAGCGTGGAGGGAGGGGGGAAAATGAGGAGCTGATGCCAGGGGCTTAAGTGGAGAGCAAATGTTTTGAGAATGATGAGGGCAATGAATGCACAAATGTGCTTTACACATTGATTTATGTATGGATTGTGATAAAAGTTGTACGAGTCCCTAATAAAACGATTAAAAAAACTTTTAATAAACACATCCTTCACAAGGAACAGAACACAAGCATACTGTGTGCACCAAGGAAGGGCAGTGTTGATATTTATTGCACTTAAACTTACACAAATGCAATAAAAATTTACTTGAATACTGAGAGCTTCCATTCATGGGGAAGCCATGACATGCATGCTGTTGAGTGAAAATGACTGTGTTTGTCATAGATAACACGGCCTTCCCATTATTAGGACTACATCCTAGAGAATATCAATGAGTATGACTTATTTGACTACATGAATTTAGAAACAGAAAAGCATCCATACCCACTGAGGCCAGGTTTCTGAAAGTTTCCATCATCACGTGTCTGTAGAGTTTCCTCTGAGAACGATCCAGCAAGGTCCACTCTTCCGGGGAAAAGTCCACAGCCACATCTTCAACAGCCACGGCGTCCTAAAACAGCCCACATATGCTAGTTCAGCAAGGTACCGTGAACTCCAATAGATGAAAAGGGGAGGAGGAGGCTGACAGTCCTGCGCACTGAGACTTTAAAGACATTAGACATGAGGTTCTGCTAAAGAGGACCACCGGGGGATGATCACTCTCATTCCATCACTGTCTAGACTCACTTCCTCTCTCATAACATGCTAGCCCCACACACTGAATATCTCATCTGACACAATAACATTAGCTCTCCACAGTTTATCTGACCAACTCAACATTATTCCTCTCCATTTTTTTGGTCCAGATTAGTCAGAACACATGACACAAAGCAGCAAAACTGCTCCACAGTGTTTGCATAATGGCACTTCTTTATGGATCAAAGAGCCTCTTCTTTTTCCCTGGGCGTGGCTGGTAGGTCTGAACCATGGAGGTTCCGTCCCTACGTTAGACTCATGATAAAAGTTTGCATTTAGTGAACTGTGATATTGGAAACTTCCAAAAAGATTTCGCCACAGTCGCTCACTGAGTGCTCTTGTGAAGCAGACGCTCAGTGCTGTTCAAATGCTAAGTCGTTGAGTCAGGGCCCACATGCAGGTCCGGGTGGCTCATGCTAGATTCCTGACAACTACATTTCTGTGCACATGCCTGTAGTTTGCTATTCTGGCATCAATCATCAACGGCGAAGATGATCCAGCAGTCTCCCGTGTGGTACGGAAAGAGGAGACAAAGGAAGCAGTTTATTAAAATAAAATAGTTTATTCCATTTCAACAACCTGGATCTCATTCTTCTAGCAGAACCCCATCTCTCTAGCAAGACTGATCCCCTTCAAGCCCGTCCACCTGGCTTGTCATTTATTAAATGGATTCAGGCCATACTGACACCAGGCAAAGCTGACCCAAGGTTGAACAAGCAAACAAAGAACAGAACAAAACCCAGCTGCTCTGAGGGGTCAGGGCTTTCCTCTCCCAGGAGCGGTTCTTCCCGGCATACGTGGGCTGGCTAGGAGGTGAGACATACTCCACAGCAACACACAATGACAACAGTACAAAGTCACCTGATACTAGCATCTATGAAGAATGCCGCGAACACAGAACTATTTCCCTGAAATGCCGTAAGTACACAGTCTAGACACAATGTGATGAATTTGTTTAAAAATCATTCTGTAGAAAGTTTATATGAAAACCAGTATTTGAACAAACTGTGAAGTACAAATACAACTAGTTTTAAGTAAAAAAAAAGAATGCCCCATAGGTGGGTGGGAGATAAGCAGTAACACA